TGCATTTGTTGATACATGGCCAATTTATTGATGCCATAGTAAACAAGGATATGCAAATTAGGCTAACACAAAGTGGTGTACATCTTTAAAGAAAGGTGTCCATTTGGTGATGGAATCTGAATCAGTAATATTTGCAGATAAACAACTAAAAACAGGAACTACGAGATCATCAAATCAAAGGGGAAGGTATATCAGATCCCTATGTTAAAAGTCTAGAATAACTCAAAGGGATAATTAAGTAACTGATTACTCAAAATAGAAGAAATATATAACAAGATATTAAGTATTTGAACCGCAATGTATAATGACACGTTGCCAGGAAATCTAGACAAAATCCTGTCAGAAATAAACATTGTTTCCAAAAGATGAAGGAAAAATATAATTATTATAAATTTATAAAACATAGAAATTACAGTCAAACTGTATTGAATCAATAGATGATAATACACCAAACAAATTATACCTAAACGATGAGTCCCAGAGCCCAAACAAACTGACTGAACAAGATAGAGCTAACTAGACATTACTAAACAGAACTTAACTAGGTTTAGGGAGTGAAATTCAAATCAGAATGTTCCACATATCCAAAGTGAGGCAAAGAAATCATTACAAAAACTGGCCCACGAGTCATTTGCATACATTGATTGGAAGCTTCGTAACATGTTAGTTGATACTGGTTTTACAGCTACGTAGTTCAACTCCTTCACGTAAGGAAAATAGCCTCCAGAGAAGCAACAAGAAGTTGGATTTATTCAAACAGCAGATGGTTATAAATTTCTAACAACAGTAAAGTTGGAAGTCGCTCTCGTTGTGGAAAGCTTTCTTTACAGAACATGATTGGTGGATAATTAACATTGAGGAAAAGTGTATAATAGGAAGACTTTATGCAGGAACATGAATGTGAAGGTAGACTCCCTTCAACTAGTTTCACAGTAGGGAATCCCTGTTGTTGCCAAGTTTTGATAGCTAATACGATAACAAGTTTTTATTATTTTACTTTTATTGTATTTATTTGTATAACTAGACACTAATTACAAAATAGGTTTTTTATCCTATGCTCCACAGTCGTCTTAGGGAAGCCCTGAGGACTATTTCTGTGATGGCAAATACAGTACTCATAGATCAAACTACTCCAGCAATATGAAGACAGACCTCATAGACTGCCTAGTTTACAGAATGAATGAGATGTGTATATTAAGGTACCTATGAAAAAGGAAAACAAATCACTGCAACAATGGATACCTGGAACATTTGATAAAAAAGTAAATAAAGATAAACATCAAGATGGTTTGTTTTATTGTTTTAGAGCAATGCCACATTGGGCTATCTGCTGTGTCCACCGCGAGAAACTGAACCTCAAATTTTAGCTTTGTAAATCCATAGACTTACTGCTGTTCTGCCGAAGGACACATCAAGAAGAAACAAGAAGCATTTTATAACATTCATATTCCTTTATCTTAGAGGTTTCTCTGAAAACATACAGATAATACGTAAATGGCATAAAATCAGAACAGTATTCAGAAGCTGCAACACATAGAGGAGAAAAACGTCATTTACAACATCCCTTGTGGGTGTGTATTCCAATACGTCAGAAAAACAAAAACGTCAACAAAAGTTAGATTTCAGGGATATGATATACATACAAGACTTGGTAATAATGTTCTATTTGAAACAGTCGATAATGTCAGAGAAAAAGGCCATACTATTTATTGGAATAATACTAGTATATGAAAAAAATAAAGAAGCCTTCTATATCCTCCTAACTGATAACATACACTGGCAAAATAGCATAGAAGTCAGGAAAACCTCGATACTCCTCTTGAAAATATTCAAGTACTCAGTTGATTCAAGATCTAACAAGATAGACCTCAACTGAGTGAATAACACACTACTAGTTTTTCGTTTGTTTGTTTTTATAAAGAACACACAGCTTTGAATACCGACCCTCCCAATACAGAAATAGTCATTATCAGAACTTACCTGAAAATGATTGCAGATTATCATCCAAAACACAGAATTAAACTAATTAGTAATTAGTATGTAGTCATAAAATTAAAATATAATACACATATATATATACAAAATAAATATAATAAACAAATTAGTTACTAATTAATAACTAGACTTAGGAGGTCCGATAGGTTGCTAAAACAAGACAACACTGACCGCTGATTACCATCAGTATTTAAGAAATCCTTATGCATTTTACGACAATTAAAGAAGCAGAATTAGTACTCCTGTTGACAACAAAAAAGGAAACAATATAATAAAAATAACCAACCTAAGTGGTCCAAGCCAAATATCATCTTACTAGATCATTTTTGAAAGCACGTCTGAGATAATGGCTAAATGATTAGTTGGAAAGAAGAGTGATGAGCGCAAACAGAGTATTACGAGAGATAGTGCCACCGATGGATTCACTCAACCATCTACCTAGAGGATTGGCTCCCCGCCCCCACTCCCCCATAACACGATAGCAAATTGTCGTAAATGACAACAGGTCATTCCATCCCCGTCCTATAAGCCACGGAAAATAAAATCATGACTGGACAGTATAGGGACAAGCAGTAAATGAGTAAAGAAATGAAATTTTATTGATCAAAATTTTAATTGTACTTTATTTATTTCAAACATTTCATTAATTATTGTAATTGTTTGAAATTAAGCACAAAGCTACACAATGGGCTATCTGTGCTCTGCCCACCATGGGTATCGAAACCCGGATTCTAGCGTTGTAAGTCCGCAGACATACCGCTGTGCCACTGGGGGGTAATTATTGTAATATCTATATCTATTGATGTTAAATTGTTCATTTTTCAGAGTTACTTTATTGTTAAATATGGAAGTTTAACGAACTGTTGTTTTCTTTAAATAATAGGATTGTTAAATGTACTTCACAATCCAGGGGTAGTGACAGTGTTTTACGTTTTTTTTATATTTAGATGTTAGTATTGTTTATTGTTCGAGCAATGAACACGTGGCTTAATGACTAGAAATTTTTAAAAATCTTATAAATGATTTGAACGACATAAAACGCTAGTTAGGCGAGAACAGATGAAATTTGTTTGTTTGTAATTAAGCCCAAAGTTACACAATATGCTATCTGTG